AGAAGACCCAGAAGCAAGGGTCTTCTCTTGGTATGTCCAGAAGCACTTTTCAGTTGCTTTTTTGTACAGGCCACACTTGAAGCTGAAAATCTAGTTACTGGTAATACAGCAAGTATCACGAAAGTTCCCAAATGACAAGACAGTTAGGTCTTTTTATGGAAGAGTATTACTTGTACTAGCTGAAATTCTATGGTGGAATAATCATTGCCTGCTCCATGTGTTTTCTGAGAAGGTCAGATCATTCGGTGCCAGTAATAATGAGTGTGATAACTATCAGCCCTTGAATGTTTAGAGTGGACCATGTACTGTGCTTTATGTGAGTTTTCTCATTTGACCTCACCACTGCCCAGTGAGGGTTATGGTACTCCCTCTTTTGTCTTTTCCCAGACATTCCAGTTGTGTTGTTTCAGCACTGAATGGATGCACTATTCATCAGAGCTCTGCTTACTGTGACTCACCAGGGGGCGGGCGCTGCTGACGCAGCATGGCTGTGAGTAGTGGTGATGCCCTGTCGGCTCTTGGAAAACCTCACACAAATAATGTGTGGTTGTTTGTTGTTGGTTTTTAAGAGCAGACAATACAGATGCCTATGAAGTAAACTGGAAAAGTGGCCCAGTCCCCTCCACTGGCCAATCCTTTATTTCGCCCCTCTCCCCAAGATAGCCATCCTAATAGTTTAGTAGTGTATATTCTTCCAGATCTTAGTTTTTCCATAAACCTGTTAAAAAATATCATGAGATCTGTATCAGAAGGACTTTTCTTCCAAAGAACTCTTTCCTTAGCTGCTCTAACCTTTCTTTTCCGCTGGACATTTTCCTGTTTGGACTTTGAGGAATTTAGCCAGAAACAGGCCTGTTTCTTCTAAACTTGAACCCTGTTTGCCCCTTAAGCTCTCCTGTTTTCCAGGGATATGTAGGAGCAAGAAAGGTGTAAGCTTAGTAGCTCTTTGAAATATGTTAGATTATTCAAAATATTATTTTCCAGATGAGGTCAGTTTATTTGTTCCTAAAATAAGTTCCTTGTAAGCTGTTGATTGGAGAGTCAACTAATGGTGGGTCCTTTGGACTTAGAGAAAGTAGATATGAATGCCTTTGCTTATCTGTAAGTAGTGGATATATGTGGCTCAAAAATATATGTAAATTGAATGAAAATAATGGAACTTGTGAACCCTTTTAATATACATAATTGCCAATTACTATAAGTTTAGATTTGCTTAAATTGGGTGCTTTTGAAATAAGGCTTTCATTAGTGGCCTTTGAGGCCTTCTACATATATAAATACCTTTTCTCCTTGTTCTTTTTCCCTGGGAGATGGGCAGCCTGTCTCTTGGGTTGTAAAAATACAGACATAGCATGTTTGTATCATCACAGTGTACTTAGAAAACGCTGGGAGAAGGGTCTCACAGCCATTTGTCCGGAGCCCTGCGTACACCACAAGGGACAGGCTTTATGACCTTGCAGAAAGACTGCCTTGGGAGCGCACGCTGGCTGTGGGACTGGGCGCCAGGCATGATGTGCCCATCTGGACTTTGTTTCATGGCAGAAACCGCTGTTCTTAGTGTCTTAGATTTTAAAACTATTTTCTTACTTTCTCTACTTTTTATTTTTATTTTGGGCCTTCTCAAGCTTGTTGAAGTTTGTCACTGCATTGGTGATGGGGTCCTTTCCTGGCACTTGAGTGGCAGCGCTGTTGAGGGCCGCATACAGGGAAAGGTGACCTGCGGCAGCAGTCAGGGCCTCTGGGATGTTCTAAGTAGGTCTCTGCTTCCCTGTCACGTGGAGTTTTGATTTCACCAGGAACCTCTGTAAGGAGAAAGAGGAGAGTTGCTTTTAGCAACCATCCTTCCCTTGTCTACACCAGATACTACTTCTGAACCAAAAATAGTGATACCAGATTGGAGCATTTATATGTGATACTGTTTACTTCATGTTCTTGAAGCTACTCTCTACAGAATATCTGATATGAAAGATTTATCTTTGCTTGGCAATTCTGGACACAGCTGCCTTAGCATGGATATCTCTTATTAGCTGTGGAACTATTGCTCAGAAAAAGATTTACAGAAACATCTTACCTGTTTGGCCCATGTCCAGATATGCTTTTAAGGTGGCCTTTTTCCAAGTTGCCACCGTACACGTCATGGGGACAATGAGAGAAAACAAGGAGTGGGAGGAAATGGCCATTGCAGAGCCATACGAGAGCTGGAATACTGTTAGAGAGAAGAGCCCAGCTAACCCACTTAACATTCTGCCTGGAAGCAGGTCACCCGTAGCTTCGCCTTCCTCTTCCTCATTTGTGTCAGGAGTCAAGTCAGCTGGATGCCAGGCCATTTGTGTTCCCTGTTCCTGGCACTGAGGATTCACACGGCACAGTGCGGAGAGGTAGATTTCTTCACTCCGCGCTGGGGTGGGGTGCAGCGGGCACCCGTGGCTACAGGGGCAAGTGGGGTTGGCCGCGGCGCTGATGAGAAAGCCGTGGCGCAGTCTGGGACACTGCACCCGCGAAGGGGCTCGGCATACAGAGTGGAACAGTGTTTCCAGCCTGGCTTTTGTCTTACACCCAGAAGCTTAGGGATAGTTGGGGGGATAGTGACAAAATGTGTGTTTCATTCTATTTAAGAGGAATTGTGGAGCCAGGCAAACTGGAGTTTTAACCTAGGCTACACGCATTGGTTGTTTAATTATGGAAGAGTTACTTAGCTCTTCTGAGCCTCAGATTCATCATCAGTAAATTGAATGGGAGGTTTTTGTGAGGATTTAATGAGATAATACAGGCAAAATGCCTGGCATGGTACCTGGCATTTGTTAGGTGCCCAGACTAACATTCATTGGTGTGAGTGTTTTCCCCCTTCACTTACTGTACTTTTTCAGTTTACTCATTCATCAGGATATTGAACAGTTACTGTGTGCCAGACCCTGTACTGGGCATCAGCTGGAGGATGTCCTCCAGTTAGATGAGCAGTCCATAATTAGGGCTCAATGCAGTAGAAACAATGATGGTGACTCACACAGAGATGAGACATTTGTTTGAACCGCAGAGTCCCAGACGGCTTCCTGGAGAATGTGATATTCCAGAAGGAAAGGGCTCCAGGAAGCAGCCCTGGAAAGGACATGAAGGCCTGAGATAACAGGGTGCACACGAGGAACCACAAGTGTGGTGTTTTTCAGGGAGTGCCTGCCCGCAGCTTCATTTTCTTAGCCCTTTGCTCCTGTCACTTTGGTGTGCCTTCGGTGTGCCTGCTGTGTTATGTTGGTGGGGCATGATGTGGCTTCCTGACAGAGGGCGCATGAGCTGGGACTGTAAATCTGTTGACTGTACACAGCACACTCTCCTGTGTGGTCTAGTAAAGCCACTGGCAGGATTTGACCCTTCCCTTTGTGTGTACCGCTCTGCCGTAAGTGCACAGAATGTAATTGTTCCCTGCACAGTATTTCCAGAGTTTGGACTTGGTGGAGGTCCTTTTTCTGTCACCTTAATTTGAGGTTACTGGCATCAAAATCTAATTGTACTATTTATGCTGTTTTTAGCCTACTATCATTTTGCATATCAGCAGTTGATGAGTTGTGGGGTTTTTACTCTACTTAGGTCAGCCTTTGTAGGAAAAGCGGGCAACGTTGTGTGGCTTCTGCAAGTTCTTTGTTGGTAGACAACACCCAACAGTTCCTGTAGCTGTAAAGTGGAATCATGGATCTTCCTTTGCCATTATTCTCTTTTCAAAATACAAGGTCCTCTCCCTGTTGAACTTTGTATATTTTTATATTTAAATTTTTCAATTGTCACTGAATGGGGATGGCAAGAAGTTTGTGTTTTACATGTAAATTGAACAAAAAAATTCTCTGCGAATTCCTTCCCTGTAGCCGCTCTGAAAACACTCGAGGAGGCCAGGATCCCATTCAGAATGATCCTGGATGATCCCATTTCTTACAGAAACGTCTTGTTTTTTCCCCCAAATGCTTTCATGAAAGTAGGCCCACCTTTCCCTGTAGTTGTGAAAACTGGAGAATATTTTGTGCATTTGATTTAGAAAGTGACCAGGCTGAATAGACTGTTGGAACCCAGAACTGCAGGTTGGTTCAGAGGTCTTCCATTAGCAGAAGTATTGAATGAGGAAACATTTGACAGGCTCTGCATCCCTGGGATCAGCCAAACTGAAGCCTGGGATTTGGAGTAAAGAAAGCTTCTGTCCTCTTCCTCTCTAATCTGCTCTCTGAACTCTCCTGACCCACTGTCGGTGGTGCTGAGAATAAAGTCATTTTAAGTAAAAATAACATTGGTGTCTACTTCCATTTTGTTTCTTCTATTTACCGCCAACCCATGGGATGGAATTTAAGTGTTTACAGTTGACAGGACTCTTGTAGAGGTGAAATTACTGCCTCAGCTCCAGATGAACTCCAGGTCAGCAGGGGATTCGTCTGCCCGTATCTGAACTTGTCACACTTAACGACACAAAGCAGACCACACCAGGGCTGCTGAGAGTTGGTCAGGGAGCGGTAGATGTAAAATGTAAAATATGTTTTTTGAATGATCTTTGACCTTTCAGAATTGGTTGATGAAGAGGAAGATAGTGGCGTGTTTCTCTGCCACCCCCAGACTTGCCTTACTCCTAGCCACACTGGTGTTAGGTGAGGAGAGGAAGCCACTCGTGTAAAGTCATGGATGGTGAGAGAGAAAGATGTTTTGTTGCTGCTGTTGCTGTGTTTGGTTTCTTTGGGGAGAGAGGAAAGAGCTCCCTGAGTGAGAGAGTAGCAACACGTGAGCAGACTCAGTGATGGAGCCTTAAAGCCCCAGTCCTTGGGACTTAGTAGTCCCAACCCTGTAGCCAGGTTTGAGCACATGAGGACAACAGGCAAACCACTGAAAACGCCCGAGGAATCTAGTGTCCTTCTCTAGAACTGGTCAGCCACGAAATACCAAGGGGGAACTCTTGCTTACCTGAGGACCGCTGTAGCACTGTCTTTGTCCCCGTGGGACTGTGCCATTCCCAGCCATTTCTCTCCCCTCAGGCTGACGGGCTTCAAGGACGCAGCTGCTGCTGTTGGAGATGAGCGGCGCCACACCTGAGCCGGGCCATGAGGTCATGTGGCCGTGATGTGGGCCCCTCATGGCCTCCGCAGGAACAGAGCACTGCAGTATCGGTCTCCACCAGGGAAACAGCTTTAAGCAGAGTGGTCCCTTGGGCACAGCGCCTGCCCCGCCACCCTCTGAGGGCAAGGTCTGGTCTCAGGCTCAGCAACAGGCGAAGCCAGTGTGGAAGCTGGAGAAGAAACACGTGGGGACCCTTTCAGCAGGGTTGAGCCCACGCCTCCTGGGTGTCCCGCCCCAGCCAGCGTATTTCTTTTGCCCCAGCACTTCATGCAGCTCTGGGACCACAGCTGCCCCTCCAGGCCACAGCAGCTCCTGGTACCCGCCTTATCTCTGGGACTTGTTCAGCAGCACCCTGCTGTACCGCCGCTCCAACTGTAGGCACAAAACTTACCAGCATCTGGAGTCTTTCTGCTTGCATTCGAGCCCATCAGAAGAAAGACTTTTTTCTTTCCCTCAAAAGAACCTCCCTGTCAGACTCACTGCCAACAAAGCCACTTCTTTCACGGTCTCCCCCATGGCCCAGCCCATGGCATCCTCGCCCGCTGACCCATACCTCTTACTGGGGGCGGCTGGGGAGAACCCTTCAGGGAAGAGACTGGCCTCTGCCGTCTCAGGGAAGACGCCATCTCCACTCTCGCCCTCTTCGCCCTCCTACAAGCCCATGCTCAATAACAACTCTTTCATGAGGCCAAATAGCACTAAAGTGCCTTTCTCACAGGCCGCAGAGGGCCTGAAGCCAGCGTCCTCGCCCAAGATCCAGCTTGTCTCCTGGCATCATTCAGGGGGCACTGGAGACTGTGCCCTCCAGCCTACTGAACACAAGGTACCCAAGAGCAATGGCATTGTCCTACATGGTGCCCTTGCCGGTAGCACCCTGCCGGCCCCTGGCTCCTTAGACACTTCCACCACCAGTGGTGCCTCCCCGCAGTGCGACCAGAGTAACATAGCCATGAGAATAAAGCCGCATCCCTGTGGCCTGGATGGCGACTCTGTTCCCCTGGCTCTGACCAAGGAGGTTCAGTTCACTGAGGCTGTGAGGAAGTTGACCGCAGGTGGCTTGGAGACGCCGAGGCAAGTCTACCAGTTTGAACAATCTTGTTCAATGAACCCCAGCTTGCAGTGGGGTCTCCTCAATAGGAACAAGCGGTGGAAACCTCCTGTGATAGGCCAGCAGCTCCCTCAGGAGGGTGCTGGAGCAGACAGTAGGGTCCCCCCTGGAGCCTCGGACACCTTGGAGTTGGACAGTACAGTCTTTTGTACCAAACGCATCAGCATTCACCTGCTTGCCTCACACACCGGTGGGCTCAGCCACAGCCCTGCCTCTGGATCTGTGATCAACTCCCCGCCACTTGGAGAAGACAAAACTCCGGTTCTGCCTTCTCCCCATCAGCCCTTTGGCTTGGCTGATGTGGCCACCCGCCTCTCTTCAATCCATCTTGGCCAGCTTGGGAAGGAGGGGCCTAAAGAAGCCAGGGAGCTGGACTCACCTGCTAAGGATATTGGGTAAGTTGGAGAAAGGTTTCTGTTCACTTAGGTCGGTAGAATGTATATACCAAAATTTGCTGGCACTGACCCGGTATCTCTGAAAGTTGGTTTTATTTTTTAGCTGCCCCAGAATTATGGCTTTCACTTCAGGGTAGAGGTCAGCAAACTGCAGCTTTCAGGCTAGATCCCACATACTGCCTGCTTCGGTGAAGTTTTATTGAGACTCAGCCTTACCCATTCATTTACTACTGTCTATGACAGCTCTCCTATTGCAGTGATAGGGTTGAGTAGTTGTAACAGACTGAATGGCTCAAAAACTGAAAATATTTACTGTCTGCTCCTTTAGAGGAAGAGTTTGCTGACCCCTACTTAGAGTTATAGCCAGGGAGAAGGAAAAATTCCAAACCCCACGAGTTGGGGCCTGTGACATTTCTACTTAATTCCAAAGCAAATCAGGTTCTCAGGCATTCGGGGTATGACAGCCGTTTCAGAGGTGGTTTCTTCTCTTGGCTCCTTGCTACTGCCTTGGTTTGCCAAGGCCTGCCTTGTTCTGAATTCCCAGACATCAGTCTGGGGACTTTGAAGTCAATTACCAGACCTTCACTGATGGTGTTTTGAATGCACAGTTTGGGACCTATATTCTCTGAGGGACTTCAAAGAAGATGGAAGACATAGTGCCTCTCTGCAGAAGTGTGGGGGGTACGGTTGAAGAACTATGGCTAGACCTAAGCTCTGAGGACAAGAGAAGTAAAGTGTGAGATTCAGGCAAGAGACAGCAGATTGGTGACTGGGGAAGAGACAGACATCGGGAGATGTGAAGCCGTGAGAATCTGTGAAATCTCTTATGGAACTGGCTGGTCTGGGGGCATGATTCTTTCTTACAGTCCAGCTGCTGACCTCCGGCTAGACCAAGCGGAGGCTGAAGATCTAGAGGAAGAGCTGGTGGATGGTTTGGAAGACGGCTGCAGCCACGATGAGAATGAGGAGGAGGAGGGTGAGTAGGGGACCCTTTCACCTCCAGCTGGGACTTGGTCACCACCCCCTACGGAAGGGGGCTAACAATTGTTACCAAGTAGGTCTTTGACCCACTTTATCACCTGCTTTACTCATTTGCCTTGGGGATCCAAGGGTGGTGAGTAGTGATGTTTGAGGGACTTTGTTCTCTAGTCCTCCTGGCCCACCAGCCTTGCCTTCTCCCTGCTGCTGGCGAGCTCAAGGAAGGCAGTGGAAGGCAGCAGAGTGGTTCTTGTGGCTCCGCAAGAAGGCTGAGCCAGGCTGTCCAGGGAAGAGCTGCCTAGGCTTGGTGAGTTCGTGTCGCAGCCTCTCCCATTCACGACTTCTCTGCTTGCCCACCCACAGGAGACTCCGAGTGCTCCTCATTCAGCGCCGTCTCTCCCAGCGAGTCGATAGCAGCGATCTCTCGGTGAGTGCTGGTTGTGTAGGTCGTTGGTAGGTGCTCATTTGCTGTCTTTTTTAAGATTATAAAGAGATTAATCACCTAAGTCATTAATGGCCTTGTTGACCGTCACTCATTTTTACTGAATTTTCACATTTGGGACTTTAGTTTTCAAACAAGGAGCAATGGGAGGCACCAGAAACATTGTGTCAGTTGGACTTAAGAACGGTACCATGTTTCTTAGGCTACAATTTGGTCTTTAGGCTCCAAGAAATTGTTCATGTAAAAAGCAAATAATCCCAAGAAGTGGTTAGAAAATTAATAATTAATGAAGAAACGAAATGTTTGAGGTAAATTGTTAAGCCACCCACATGAGGATAATTGACACTTTGCATTATAAACGCATCCCACTGTCAGAAACAGTTCTGAGATACATATACCGTTAAGTGGAGCTTTTTAAAATGCCCTTTTGCTGCCTTCTGAGGTTAGTTGGATACTGGGAAATAAGACTGGCATTAACCTTGGTAATAAGATATTGAATTAAAAATTCTCTAGCTTTAATCTAGATTATTTTATTGACTGCCTTTGGTAGAGTCTGAGTGAAAACAGTCTGTCTCTAACTAGGGAACCAAAAGTTTGCTCTTTTAACGTAGGTCCTTCTTTTGTGAAACGAGTAGTAGCAGGGTGCTGCGTGATTGAGATGGAGAGTGGAGGAGAGGAAGGGATGGGTGCAGAACTATTAGGGCATGTCATTGGGCCAAAGATTTTTAGAACTTGCTAAAGGATCATGTACGTTACCTTTCTGGGTAGAAAGTTAACATTCTTCAGCATCATCTTCCTTGTTCCCTCACCACTTCCAACATTGTCTCAACAGGAGGCTCTGTCACCAATTACTGTTGTTTTATTAAATGTTAAAAAGAGGCCCCCCGCACAAAGTATTGGGTTGGCCAAAAAGGCCATATGGTTTTTTCCATAAAATAAAAGCCACATCTTTCATTTTCACCAGTAACTTTATTGATTTGGATATTTTGAGTATGTCAGCTGTCTCATGTGTGGTATGACATTGATTGTTCTCAATTAACGTCTCAATTTGATCACTATCAACCTCAGTTGGTTTACCCAACTGTTGAGCGTTGTCCAGCGAGAAATCTCCAGCACGAAACTTCGCAAACCGCTTTTCACACATTCAGTCAGTCACAGCACCTTCTCCATACACTGCACAAATCATTTCTTGTGTTTTTGGTTGCTTTTTTTTCCTTTCTTGAAATAATAAAGCATAATATGCTGAAAATGTTGCGTATTTTCTTCCATCTTCAATATTAAAATGGCTACACAAAAACTCAACAACTTTGATTTTTTTTTTTCCTAATGCGTGCTGATATGACAGGTGTCACAATACAGCCTAACAAAATTGTTTTGAATGAAGTTAAAGAAAACTAAGCGCTGCTAGAGCCATCTTACGGGAAAAAAACAAACTGTTCAGCCAACCCAATACTAAACATTAAATTTTTTTTTCTTTTTAAAAATAACTTCTACTGAAAATGTAAAAGGAACTCTATATACTCACATGTATACATGTCTGCTCCTTTAGAGGAAGAGTTTGCTGACCCCTACTTAGAGTTATAGCCAGGGAGGAGGAAAAATTCCAAACCCCACCAGTTGGGGCCTGTGACATTTCTACTTAATTCCAAAGCAAATCAGGTTCTCACCAATTACATATACCTACATGTATACATGTGAGTATATGTAATTGGTGAGTTTTGTTTTTCTATTTGTAATTAAAAATTTCTATTCTAATTTTAACAAAATTCAGCCACATGTATTAAGTCTTGCCTAACATGTGGAGCATCCAGACTTGGGCTCCTTTCCTTTGTGCCAGCTGTGCCTTCGATGAAGCTAAGAGTAAAAGGAGGCTTTCATGCCTTGGTCAGTATGGACAAAGCAAGCTGCGTCTCTGTGAATATGACGGTGGCGCAGCTGTACCAATTATAGAGCCCCAGACCAGCAAGGCAGAGAGAGCTGTTTGGAAAGTGGAGAGACAGAATTGGAACTTTCTGTGAAGGTTGATAGAAATCCTGTCATACAAACCCTGCATCTGGTGCATCATTTCTGTTACTTTAAGCCTAATCCATCCTCCTTTTAGAGAAGCAAGCTACCTCTGGTTGTATTATTGGATGTTGACTAAGCACCTCCACTCTCTCTAAGAGAAAGGTATTTAACACTTAATTGACTTGGAGTCCCACCTTTTTCATGCTTAGGGGTGGGGTTTGTTTTCAGGCCTTCTTTAAGATTAGCTGCATAGCTTTTCATTTAACCTCTCTGATTTACAAGGTAAAATTCACAAAAGGTGTTGGTTAATAATGTGTTCATTTATTAATTTAACTCCTACAAGTGCATAGACCTTCTTACTTATTTGAGGCTTAAACCATTATTTATCTGAGGCTTATCAGGCACGTGGATGTTGAGGAATTCCAGCCACTGTGTATTTTGCATTTTAAGGATGACTAAACTCAAATTCTTTTGGATTGCCAAAATCTTATTTTCCCCTTTATGAAAGATTTATTTTTTTGCAATATTAGAGAAAATTCTGCTATTACAGAAAGGTCATTAAAAATATTGCGTCTTTTTCTCTGCCCAGTAATAGTTTATTGCATTTCCAGTTCCATATTTATTTTTCTAAGAATCATGTAACTTTAGAGATGGAGGTCATCGAGTCCAGCCTCTTTTTTCAGATGTCAAAGTCGAGGACCAGAGAAGTTAAGTATCTATTGCAAGGTCATGGTTTGTAGCACTGCTAGATCAGAGGCCAAGTCACTTGAGGACAAGTCCAGTACACTTGAGAGGCAGCTAACAAAAATTTTCTGTCTTTTTATTATTAAACTTTTTTAAAAAAACTTTTGATTTTGAGACTGTTATAGATTCACATGCTGTTATAAGAAATAATACATAGAGATCCCAGAGTTCTTCACTCAGTTTCCCCCGATGGTAACATCTTGCAAAACTATGTTATATTGTAGTACAACCAAGATACTAATATTAGTCAACATACATTTCCATCACTGCAAGAATCCCTGCTGGTGCTCTGATAGCCACACCTACTTCCCTCCCTCTTAACCCCTGGCAACCACTAATTTGTTCTATAATTTTGTCATTTCAAGAATGTTACACAAATGGAATGATAGTCATGTTAACCTTTTGGGATTGGCTTTTTTTTACCCAGCACATTCTCTGCCCCAGGTTGTTGCGCATATCAGTAGTTCATTCCTTTTTTCTTGCTGAGCAGCATTCCATGGTATGGACATATCACAGTTTGTTTATCCATTCCCCTGTTGAAGGATATTTGGGTGGTTTCAAGTTTTAGGCTATTATGAATAAACTATCATATATATATTTTTGCATGAACATAAGTCTTCATCTTTCTGAGATAGATACCCAGGAGCGCATGTTTAGTTTTTTAAGAAACTGCCAAAACTGTTTTCTGGAGTGGCAGTACCATTTTACATTCCTGTCTTGTCTATGCTTTTGAAAACATTTTATTTTTCAGTTGCAGTTGACACACAATATTGTCTGATTTCAGTTGTCTTTGTTTTTAAATTAACTCACTCTCCTTGATTTTCAGACCTTAAATTCTGATAATAAATTAAAAGTCTTTGAAGTAAAATATTTTGGAAATGAGGAACAGTTAAATTAATTGGAATAATTAAATTGACAATTAGTATTTAACTTGACACAATAAAATTCATTAAAAATTTCTAAGGTTTAAAAGGCTCATGTTTTACACACAGTGCCTATATTTCTGTTGTGTTGCTAAATAGCATGCCGAATGGCTTTTTATAAACTAAGTAGTTTATAAATCTTAAATAGCAGTATGTGTGGGTCATACCAGCTCAGTACAGAGAGTAACACTCTTCTCTCTGTTCTCAGTGCTATTTAAAGAAATGGTCTGGGTCTGTCAGCTTGTACCTGATAGTAGAGATATTCACTGTTTCAGGCCCCTTGAGGTAGCCTTGGCTGAGCTATTGCTGAAACAACTGTGGGTCCAGGTTCCCACACAGTTACATAAAAACTTGGTGTCAATCTATTTCCCAAATAGAGAAGAGCATTAATCAGCCATGTTTCTTTTCAGAGATACGTAAATATAAGATGCGTTAGAAGTATCACTCTTTTCTTTCTGTTGCTTTTTTCCCTTTTTCTTTTTAAAAATCTCTATGCCTCATTTTAGGTTTTTTTTCTCTTTTAATTCTCCGTGTTCTTCTTTTTCTCTCTTCATTTATTTCTCTTTGACTTAGTGTAGCATATTCCTCTACTAGCGTCCACCCAGACTTGCTGCCTGCTCTCAGAACTGTTCTCTTCAGGGATTTCCCCAGCCTGTGGCTTGTCACAGGATGAAGTATTGGAGAGCCTTGTCTTTAGGTGACATTTCATGGTGTGGCTGTTAGCCCTAGCACCTTATTGATTAGTATTTGCTAAATAATTATTAAGCACTTGTCTTTGTGTGATATAAGTACAATTTAAAAGAAGCGCCCCCACAGAAATAAGGTGTAATAGTAACAGTGCTTCAGGGCTGTGACTTTCCCTTTCTGAACCGCGTGTCTGTTTCTCTTCTTAGGGGCTGCGTGGAGGCTCTGACCAAACCTCTTTCCAGTGAGAAAGTTGTCCGGCCAGCCCTCATCTACAGTCTCTTTCCCAACGTGCCTCCTACCATCTATTTTGGCACTCGGGATGAGAAAGGTAAACCTGGCCAAGTGTGTAAGCCCAGGAGAGCCTACAGGGGGACGCGAGTGAAGCTGGGAGGAGGTGGCGGAAGGGTGGGGAGGGGCTTTCCAGAACGGCTTTAATGGTGCTCGGTTCCCCTCCTGGTTCACTGGTCCAATAGGGAGACCTTTTTCTTGTTTGCCCTTGAGCTGATCCTTCTCCACCCCGTAATCTTTTGCTTCATTCTTGCCCTCTAACCTTGTTTCTTCCCCTTTCAACCTTCCCTGCTTTCTGTGCTTCTCATTCCTGTGCCTCCCACTTTCTTCCCCAAAGTGTACTCCTTTGAGACTCTGATCGGGAACCACCCTTAGTGACTTGCCTACCCAGAGAAAGTTGAGCAGTAGTGCCACCTTTTCCCTGTTGTACCCACAACTCTTCTCCTCTTCTCCACTCCCTCCACCCCGACTTTCCCTAGTGGAGAAGCTTCCCTGGGAGCAGAGGAAGCTGCTCCGGTGGAAGATGAGCACAGTGACCCCCAACATTGTCAAGCAGACCATTGGACGGTCGCACTTCAAAATCAGCAAGAGTGAGTCACTTGCCTTACTGTGATCCTGTCCTCAGCCCCAACAGATGGGCTTTGAGCAGGAAGAGTCCTAGATACCTCCTGTTATGTGGGACCCTGTCCTGAAGTTGCCAGCCTCATAGGAGGACATGGCTCCGAACTCCCTTTGGGCGGGAGCTTATTCCTCAAAATTGCAAGAAAGAGGGCCTTTGTTCTATCCCTGACCCCCAAGCCTCGCGTAGGACAGCTCCATGGTTACTCTTAGAAAATAGGGCCTGGGAGCTATGCCCAGGCGCAGGGTATTTCCGGGGCCTCTGGGCCTTTCTGTGTCCCAGGGGCTGACTCTCTGATGTGCCTTCTGTAGGAAATGATGACTGGCTGGGCTGCTGGGGTCACCACATGAAGTCTCCTAGTTTCCGATCCATTCAGGGGCATCAGAAGGTAGGAGCCCTTTCTGGGACACTTTTCTTTGGGGGTTTGTTCTAGACAGAAGGAGATAAGTATTGGGGGAAGAGGTGGATGACACAAAGAAGTCAGGAAGGCTCATGGGGGAGTGGACAGAGCGCAGGAGAGGGGGCAGTGTGAGACCCTCGCAGTTCACGCCCACCTAGTGTTCAGCTGCAGTGACATGGGCCGTTGCAGCCTCTCGAGGACACTTTATTCTCTAATGTGTCTTGAGGTCCAGCGTCTGCTTTCAGTTTATTAAGTTTCTCCTATAACCACTGCGCTTTACCTCCCTTCCCCCAAGCTGAATATGTATAAAGGGGACTCTGGTGTCACTTTGGAACAAATGGGTCCCTTGCCGGCATCCTCAGTGAAGGCTAGGTGTTCTTCTGTCTTTGTCCTATACACTGTCATAGAAAAAGACTTACCAGCTTTTTCATTTTAGGTAAGGTGGATAGCATGTCTGCCTTAATCACTATTATATGTCATGAACTATCAGCTCCTAGAAGTCACTAAATTTTGTTTTGTTTGTGTTTTAATCCTCTCTTGGTGAGTGCTTAACAGCTGAACACTTGAGTGAGGCTCATGAGACAGTGATAACAAGATGAAACAGGTGCTTAGAAAGTTGCTGAGGAAGTTGGAATGGAGTAGTGAGTCCTGCCAGCTTCCCCATGGTCTTACCTGGGTCCTCTCCCTGCTCTCGCCCTTTGTCCCTCCTGTAGCTAAACCACTTCCCAGGTTCATTCCAAATTGGGCGAAAGGACCGGCTATGGCGGAACCTATCCCGCATGCAGAGCCGCTTTGGCAAGAAGGAGTTCAGTTTCTTCCCCCAGTCCTTTATCCTGCCCCAGGATGCCAAGCTCCTGCGCAAAGCCTGGGAGAGCAGCAGCCGCCAAAAGTGGATTGTTAAACCAGTGAGTGGGTCACAGTGGGGAAGAAGGCCATTGTCTGAGAGCGAGAACAACAGAGTGTTGGCCATGAGCAAATCTCACCTCCTTTGCACTTGACTTCTAGCCAGCATCCGCTCGAGGAATTGGCATCCAGGTCATCCACAAGTGGAGTCAGCTCCCCAAGCGACGACCCCTTCTTGTACAGAGGTGGGTCTGCCTCCAGCTCCGCTCACAAGCCCATTTCCTCATTTCCTCACCCTGGAGGTTCCCTTTTTACCATGTTCTCCTGCCCTTGGTCCTCCCAGCCAAATTCCCTCCTCAGCCAGATGTTCTAAATCTTCATCTCAGGGACTGTTGGCTGGCTTTTGCTGTGGCTCAGTTACCCACTGAGCCCTGTCTCATCTGTCTCATTCCTGAAGCTGGCCTTTCCCTATGTAGGTATCTACACAAACCCTACCTCATCAGTGGCAGCAAATTTGATCTGCGCATCTATGTTTACGTCACCTCCTATGATCCTCTACGGATTTACCTCTTTTCAGATGGACTCGTCCGTTTTGCCAGTTGCAAGTATGTGGTGGTGGTCAGGTGTCACCCTAACAGCATTGGGGGTTTGTTTTCCTGAGAGGAAGGGAAACTGGAAGACACCCAAACAGAAAAATAACACATGTTTTGGTAGTTTCTATTACTGAAAGAGAAGGTGGGATATATGGGAAAACCTGGTCTTCCTTTCCGCCTTTGTATCTCGTTTTACACAAAACACTTTGCTCCTGACACTTCTGGTCACCATATATATGGTGTTTTTCCCATTCACCAAGCTAATCTCTGCAATACCTGCTGCGTGTCCTACAATATAACTCAATTCCGACACCATCTTTCTGGAGGTAGCATCAGATGCCACAGGTTAAAGGCTCGGCATCTCAAGGGTCCCCACTGCCCACTTCAGATGCCAGTCACAAGGCCAGGTTGCCACAGGTGCTGCTTCTGACCCATCAGCTGTAAATCAGAAGTTCCTATGACCCCCTGCTCAGGTTCCGTTAACTTGGTAGAGTGGCTCACAAAACTCAGGAAAATAGTGTACTTATGTTTACTGGTTGATTATAAAAGAATGTAAGTAAGATACAGATGAACTCCAGACAGAAGCTATATATAGGGCAAGGAACATGGGGAGGGGTGCAGAGATTTCATTTCTTCTCTGGGCGCACCATTCTCCCAACACCTCCACATGCTCACCTGCCCGGAAGCTCTCCGAACCCCATACTTCTGGGAGTTTATGGAGGCTTTGTCGCATAGCCATGATGGGTCATTAACTCCATTTTCAGCCTGTTTCCCTTCTCAAGAGAATGGGGGGCCAGGCTGAAAATTCCAAGCTTCTGATCCTGGCTTAGTCTTTCTGGTGCCCCGCCCTCATCTAGGAGCCCACCCCAAAGCTCCCCGTAAGAACAAAACACACTTATTACCCAGCGCACCATACGGGTTTCAGGAGGCCTGTGCCAAGAACCAGGGCCAGAGGCCAAATGTTAGAACAAAAGGTGCTCCCAGTGTTCCTAACACTTAGGATTTTATGAGAGTTTCAGCAACTCTGTCAGGAGTTGGGGACAGAGATGGGTATATGTATCTCTTATCATGAATTTAATATCACATGAAGAATGAGAAATAAGGAGGTCCTCTACTTCACTGAATCTGGGGGAGGGTCTTCCTGCAGGGCTGAGGTGGATAAAGGAGAGGAGTTTAGCTGCGGTGTTCTAGAAACCTTACCAAAGACATAGTTGTGAGGCTCTTGTGCATCCGAAAAGATCTGTCCACTTGTCCTTTTCCTCCTCAGGGTTTGGGAAAATGTTTGGACCATTGTCTGACTCTCTCACCTTCTTACCCCTGCCTTTGTCCTCCTTATTTGCAGGTATTCCCCTTCCATGAAGAGCCTTGGCAACAAATTCATGCACCTGACCAACTACAGCGTTAATAAAAAGAATACTGAATACCAGGCTAATGCAGACGAAACGGCCTGCCAGGGCCACAAATGGTACCTAGACAGTGTCCCCATGAAGTAGAGACCTAGAGGAGCACAGGGCTCAGGGGCTTGGGGAGGTTCAGGGAGATGGTGAATGGAAGGTTAATGCAAGACCCAAAGAACAATGACATAAACACTTGGCAATTCTGAATTGCATCCAGGCTCATCTCTGTCTTTATTTAAAACATCAAAAGAGATATGAAGAAAATACTGTTGTGCTTTTTATTTTTTTCTTTCTCCTCCTCACTCAATTCATAGAATATAACCCCAAATACTCCCGCCCTGTCTTCCCACGTTGCAGGGCACTGAAGGCTTTGTGGAACTACCTGAGCCAGAAGGGAGTCAATAGTGATGCCATCTGGGAGAAGATAAAGGATGTTGTTGTCAAAACCATCATCTCGTGAGTCACGCTGCCACCCTGGTGCAGGGCCTGCCACTGAATGCCCTCTTTTCTCGTGGGTTCCACACGGATGTGCTCCAGCCTTTTGACCATGCTGAGAACAGGGAATAAGAAGGAGTGGATAGAATTAAATGCTGCTCCTCTACTGAAACCCATCCTAGAAGCTGGCCCCAGAGCAGAGGCCTCTCCCGAAAGCTGCTTTTTTCTGGGTTGCTTCTGCTCTCCCATCTTTGGGCCACCCCATGGTCAGAGCAGCTCTGGGTAAGGCTTTCCTTCTCCCTGTGACCAGGTCAGAACCCTACGTGACCAGCTTGCTGAAGATGTATGTGCGACGGCCTTATAGTTGCCATGAGCTCTTTGGTTTTGACATCATGCTGGATGAGAACCTTAAGCCCTGGGTCCTGGAAGTCAACATTTCCCCGAGGTAGGTGGTGGTCTCAGGGCACTCACAGTGGAGCCCTTTCTTTAGCCTTGTGATCCTGTTTCCACTCCAGTCTTGCTGACTTTGGGAAGACCTTTCCTTCATTAAAATTTGTGTTTTCCCTTCTATATCTGCTCATTTATTCATTCTTTGCCATTATCTCAGGGTTTTTTGAGGATGGAGAGAGGCTATTTAAAATTGTTCTTTTGGCCCTGGCTTGTGTGGCTCAGTTGATTGGAATGTTGTTCTGTACACCAAAAGGTTCCCATTCAGGGCACACACTTAGATTGTGGGTTCGATCCCAGGTCAAGGAGCGTATGGGAGGCAACCAATCCATGCTTCTCTCTCTCTCTCTCTCTCTCTCTCTCTCTCTCTCTCTCTCTCTCTCTCTCTTTCTTTCTCTCTTTCTCACTCTCCCTTCAACTCTCTCTAAAATCAATAAACATATTTTAAAAATTTTTTAAAATTGTGTTTTGAACTTGCCACCACTTTCTTTCCACTAGTAAACGAAAGTCTTGGGCAAGAACCACCCTGACTAAGGTTATTCTCTATCTGTGGGTAAGAAGATCCCCATGATGGTGCTCATGAGTTTGAATGTCAGAGTCCTTTGCTCCCGCGGAAGCCAGGGAGTACATGGGACTAGCACTGACTTGGACATATAATTGGAAACAGTGTTGGAGTGTATTTTTAGCACTCTTTGCATCCTTTCCTTGCAGCCTCCACTCCAACTCTCCATTGGACATCAGCATCAAAGGCCAGATGATCCGTGACCTTCTGAACCTGGCAGGCTTTGTCCTGCCCAACACAGAGGATATTTCCAGCTCCAGCAGCTCCAGCAGCTCCACCACCAGGTCAGCCTCCTTGCTTTTCTGTGGCTCGGCTGGCAGCGTGAACAGCCCCGTCATGGGTGTGAGGAGTGAAGTCCGGGCGCTGCCACCTGCTTGGTCTCCTGTGCTGCTTGCTATGCCCCTGTAGTCTACCCACACACCTCTGCCCCCTCTGTGCCTCTAAAAGCGCATTTGGTTATGCTGCTCACCTACTCAAGAACCTCTGTAGGGCCTGGGCACTCAGCTTTCAGCTCCTCCCGTGGGTATTCAAAGCCCCAGCCTCCTTTTCCCAGGTACCCTTCCCTTTACTCCTCTTCTGGTTTCCATGTTCTGACAAACCAAACTGTTCAAAGATCCTCAGGGTTGGACCCCTAAAGGTCAGTTAATCTAGTCTCCTCTCTGACACATTTGTTGCCTCTTATTGTTTCCCCATAGTGCCCCCTCCTTTGCTCATGGGGTTTCTTCCTGAAATCCCCCGCAGCCAGACTTCCCTGTTTTCACTCCTCCCATCCATCAAAGTCTACCTCAAGGCAGCATGCTCACAGAGCCAACTCAGCGGGCTCTCTCCTCCATACCCCAGACCCCTCAGAACCACTCTTGAGGAAAGAGCCAATATTTAGTCAGTACTGCTATGTGTAAGGAAAAACTTTACACACATCTATAAGCTCATCCCTGCAGCAGCCCCATGAGGCTGATACTGGTATCCTTAGTTTACAGAACATCACTGGGATTTAGTAGCCCGTCCAGGGTTATTCAGCTACAAAGGGGTAGAGCTGGAATTCAATTCCTATGTTGCCCGTTACAAAACTTGCTTTCCCCACCATGCCTTAGAGACTCATGTTTGGCTGTGTGCTACAGTTATGTGTCATTTGACACCTGCCATCCCTTGATCTCCTTGGAGGCCATGTTTGTGCCTCGGTAGTCATTGCAGTTCTGTGAATGGTGAAATTGAGGTGCAGGGAGGTCAAGTAGTTTGTCCAGGATCACGTAGCTATAGGGTTGAGTTGGGTATTTACTAAGTGGTCACTAAATTAAACTAAACTGAAGTGCACAGCAATTATTCCAGGGTGTTTTTTTAAAAAAACAATTGAAATATTGACACTTTGTACTCCTTAAGTTCTTCCATGATACTTGCTTTGACTCTCAGGTGCTTGAATGGAGTATATTGCAGTCTGACCTTCTCAAGTAACATCTGTCCATATTTCTCTGTCTTTTCTTGAGAAGGCTATCTTCCTAGGCTGGACCCTCTTTCCATATGTCCTCAGGTTTGAAGCTGCTGATCTTACTCTTTCCCCCTTCTCACCCCCCTCCCTAGCCTGCCTAGCTTCTCCAGGGACAAATGTTGGATGGCCCCGGAGCAATTCACTGCACAGAAGTTAAAGAAAGCCTATTACCTGACGCAGAAAATTCCTGATCAGGTAGGAGATTACCTTCTCCCCAGTGCCAGCAGAAAGCTTCCCTGTGCAAACATTTGGAACCCCAGGGCAACCAGTCTAGGGCAGAGTTTTCTAACTCAGGCCCACAGTCCCCTTGGCATGCAGAGACCCATTGGCATGCACATCATTCTAGGAGAGAGACGGTGGCCTTTATCATGTGTTAAAGAACCACTGCTCTTGGGAAAAGGCTGTACTAGCCCACCCTTGTTCTCAGAGCTGTAGCCCCTTTGGGTTTCTTTCCCTGAGATGCAGCGAGCCCCTGGAAGGCTTGGCTCAGAGCAGGTGGGGGAGCCCGATGAAAGAGTGGCAGACACAGGCTATTGCACGGTCTGAGTTGCCGGATCCTAACAGTGATCCCATCAGACAAATCACTGAACCTCTGTGCCCCCGTGGCTCCCCTGACCCTGACCAAGAGTATCTTCATCCCCAGTGAGGCTCAGTGGACTTGGGAACAGGTGAGGTCCAGAGCTGGTCTACCAGGCTGCCTTGGTGGTCCCCTAAGAACCCTGGGGCCCTGGGACCCGCGTGGTGCTCACTGCCCCCTAGCTTCTTGATTCTCTGCCTCCGGCTTATATTTTTTGTCATGCCCTTTTCATCCATGTTCCTTGGGCCATAGGACTTCTATGCATCTGTGCTGGATGTCCTGACACCAGATGACGTTCGGGTTCTGGTCCAGATGGAGGATGAGTTTTCTCGCCGGGGTCAGTTTGAACGAATTTTTCCTTCTCGGATCTCTTCTCGCTATCTCCGTTTTTTTGAGCAGCCACGATATTTCAACATTCTCACCACCCAATGGGAACAGAAGTACCATGGCAACAAGCTCAAAGGTGATGTGTCCCCCCTGCCCACAGGAAGCTGATGTTTAGTGAGAGATTAAATCCCTATAGACCAGGAAATGGGCCTTCCTGGCAAAAAGAATTGGCCGGTTAATTCCACCCTCTTAAGTCCCACCCCTGCTAATCTTGTCCTAGGAGTAGATCTGCTTCGGAGTTGGTGCTACAAAGGGTTCCACACAGGAGCCATCTCTGATTCTGCTCCACTGGTGAGTGATGCCATTGGGAGGGAGGGGTCAGCCCTGTCTCAGGCTCCCCTCTCCTGCCTGAGGAGTGCCGCCTGGGTGGGGCGTGGGTCCAGGTGCTCTCACTGATCCCTTGTCAAAGGAATGATTGGCTCTAGGATTCCCTGGGTACCTACATTTCAAGGGTCCAAAAGTGCTTTCTGGCCTCAGCCTTTTGTCTGAATAAGAAGAAACCAAGACCTTTTCCCATACGGGCCCAGGCCTGAGGGTAGGGGAGGGGAGAGCCCATGATCGTCACTCAAAGGCGGAGCTGGGAGAGCGTGCCAAGACCCCAGACAGCTGAGTCTCATCGTTGCCTTTGCTTTTAGTGGTCTCTCCCGACATCACTTCTGACTGTCCCAAAGGGTGACGTGACGCTCGGTGCTTTACACAAATCAGAGACTGGCAAGCTGGGGTGAGTGCCGCCTGGGTGCAGGGAGGGTGTTGGGTGGGAGTTCGAAGACTTTAAAAAAGAATTTTAATTACAGTTGCCTTATAATACTATATTAATGGTGTGAGTTTAGGGAGTTTTGTTCCTTTCCCTCCTCCCAGATTATGAGATCTTCCTGGTGGATCTCCTTGGTATGGCCAGGAAGCTTTGCTGAGCAGAGTCATCTGCGGAAGGGGCCGCTTTCAGCCGTACTCACTCGCTGTAGGAAATCGTTAGCCTTCCTACCCTCACACACATCCACACCTACACTTAAGCTCTCAACCCCTCCGATAACTAAAATCTATTTTATGATTATTCATACCTGCATATAATTGTGTCAGTGACACTGTAATGTCATGAAGACCTGGTCCAGACTCTGAAGGCAGATCACAAGTTGAAGCTCAGCCATTTCTTTGTCCCCATTCCCTTCAGAAAACACAGCTCCTCTGAGGAAATCATTCCACTCTCTGAAGATGGGACTACACCCAAGCCCAAGAAGACCCATGTTTGTCTTTTTTTCCTCTTTTCCCAGGAAATCTACTTCCTCAAAAGACAGCGAGGACACCAGCAAAGAGCCTAGCCTTTCCATGCAGGTGCTACCTGTGAGCAAGTACTCTGGGAAGACTTCGAGATTCTCTGCTTCCCCCATTTCCCAGTCAACCGGTGACTCCCTCCTGGCTGCTGTGAGCCCATGACTGGCCTCTTTTCACTAGCCCCTGCTCAGGAGCACCAGCGTTAGCTACCTCACAGGACGTGGCCTATCGGCCAGCCTGAGTCCCTACCCCCTCTACCTTGCCCCTCTTCAGAGTATTTTTTTGAGGTTGATGAATTAGAGAGATGGGTATCTGGAGGGCTGGCAGGGTGGTGGGGATGGGGAGAAGGTGAGGAAGGTTCACTGGCTGGTACCTCATATCTCAGCAGAGAAGCCAATGATGGCCACTTAGCCTTATAAAGCAGGGTTTGGTTTCTACCTTCAGAGAGCCATGTGTGGTTTGTTTTAGGCCTTGGTGCACTGATTGAACTAGAGTTCAAGAGGAGAAAACAGGCCTGAAGCCCTTTGTAACTGAGGAGGTTCCTCTGAAGGTTCACATTTCCTCACTTCTCACCCTCTCTCCTTCCCTCCCCCTCTGTGCTGAGGAGCCACTTTCAGAAACCTCCAGACTTCTTCGGTAGACAGGGAGAGGCCATGACGTGATGAAAGCATTTCCTGTCATGCTAGTCTTGGGAGCTTCACCACCTCTAGACCACTTGTCTTTTCATAGATCCACCCAGGCAGTAGCCCTTGGCCTTCTTAGTCTGACCTCATATTACTACTTGGTCAGTCTTCTAGACTTCTAAATCATGGATGTTACCTCTTCAGCTCTTGGTTTTTGGAGAGTAAGAGGTTCTGTGAACTTTGTGAATTTCCTACAGCCCCAGTGAAGGAGCCTAGATAATCCTAGTTGGTTGCCTGTGTCCATATATGGAAGGACACAGCCCTGTGGGCGAGTGGGAAAAACTGTGATTTCCCCACAACGCACAGGAAGGCTCCTGTTCTGTTTACTCCTTGCGCTGTCTCTGATTAGCGGGCCTGGCTCATGGGTCACTAGGACAAGCAGAGGCAGTTGGGGTGGCAGAGAGGTTTCAGGAGCAGTTACCATTGCAGGATGGGCTTCCAGTCAGACTGCTGGCTAAACCCTTGTGCTCTTAACTGAATCTACCTCCCTCTCCAAGACTCAGTAAAACAGTGACTGTTCAATAAACGTTTGAGTGAGTGAACTGTACAGACAGAGATCTCCAAGGACACGAGCACCTGAACTAGAAGGCCTCCTTCTCTCTCCCCTGGGGCAAGGTGGAGCCCAGGGGGTACAAGCTGGGAGAGTGGGATCAGAAAGGTGGTTTTCACGTGAACTACACCACTCCTTAACTTGGCACTTCTTGGTTGCTGCCTGCCCCCTCCCCAGCCCTGTAATCGCTTCGCTTCGCTTTTCTAGCAGCAAGGCCAAACAGGAAGCCAACTGGCCCCTGTGCGTGAAGGCCAAGTTTTCCCCGCTGTACATCAGGCAGGAAGCTCTGCTCACAGTCCCACCCTGGGCTCTGCCTTCGTTCTCTGAGCTACCCTGTTTCATGGCTCCTGGTGTTCTGTGGCAAGCTGGGGTGGAGCCATGGAACAATCACTAAGCAGCCTGGCTAAGTAAGGCCGCACAAGTAGGTGGCTGTGCTGGCCAGCGTGAAGGCCGTGTGGACAGTTGGGGAGGAAGCTTGGTGGCAGAGTCCTGGGGCAGCTTCTGCGGCTCAGTAGTAAGGACTTCAAATTGAGGCCCAGCAGAAGTCATTGAAGCCAACTCCTTCTTGTCCTACCTCAATGCAAAAATGTCACAATGAACCTTGTGTCAAGGACAGTAAGCAGCCTTCCTAAGAAAACTAGCCACCTGCCTCAGCAGTTTTGTGTCTCATCCTCTGGTCACGGGCTTAGGTATAGAGGCCTGCCTGAGCTGCTTTGGCCCTTGGCAGCCAGCTTCGGTTCTTTGGTCTGCCTTCCGAGAATCCCCAGACAGCACAGCCAGCCCGTGTCCATCCGCCTGACCGGAGAGGGAACCAGCATTTCAGCACAATGGAAGTGTGGGCCGGGTGGGTAGGACTTAAGAAATTAAATGACTGATGAAAATAGAGAGTTCTTAGTGGTTTAAAACCTGTTTATACATACATTGTTTTTAATCTTAGTCATATTTGAATATCTGATGTGTTTTGCTGGGTGGAAGAAGGAATGGGACTTAGGTATCCTATTTCCCTTTCACCCTTGAGAGAAAATTAAATCTGGCTTATTAAGCATTCAGCATCCATACTTAGCAACAAATACCCACAGGATAAGGTACTCATCTAAATAAGGAATTTTGAAGAAGTTATGGGATTCTTTGAACGTTTAAATTTTGGGGGTATGGTAGAATAAATGTCAGAACATGTTGGTTTCCTAAGTTGATAACTTACGCAGTCCCTGTTTGGAGAAAGGGGCATGCAGTACGGAGTATTTCTGAAGCACTGGAGTAAGGATTTGACGTAGAAGGCAGGGAGGGTGGTGACTATTGCTGTTTACCTCAGAGTCACTCAGTATTGGTAAAAAACTAAGTGACTTAGAGTGAATACTAACAAAGAGGTGGCGTTGTGATAGGAAGCGAGCATGGCTGACCTTGGGTTCAAATCTCAGTTCTGCTCTTTGACCTCAGCTGCCATTTAATTTTTTAAAGTGTTTTTTTTAATATGAACATGATACCTACACACATGCACTGCAGGATTATGAAAATTAAGTAAAACATAGTCAAAGCACTTAGGACTTAGAGGGCCCTTATTTCATGGTTACCCCTCCCTCCATTTGCTCTCTGAAACTTGCTTTGGGTAGGGGAAGGCAGGCAAGAACTATAGAACCTTTTACACGAGGGAAGCCGCTGTAGAGCCTTTTGGAGGTGGAGAAGTTCCAGAACAGGCTTTAGACCTTCACCTTCACCCCGGGCACACAGAAACACTATCATTCATTCTGTTGCACTTTGTGTTGGGGATTTATTTCTTTGGTTAAATAGTTCACAGAATTGCAAGCTCCCTGGGTAAGGAAGCACATCAGCATTTGAAGTATGTGAATGGAATGAAATTACTGTCTTACCCCAGGAGAAGCTTTGATTTAAAAAAACAAACAAAAAAACCCCAAGGGAGCAATGGGTGCCCAGTGACTGGAAAAGGGAGGAGCATGGTAAACAAAAGAAAAGGGACCTTGAACTCCAGCTGGAGCCAAAGAACACACACACCAACCCAACAGCTCTGCCAACAAACAGTTGTCATTGCAGGTTCATTCTGATTCCAAGCTGTTTAGTCACCCTAGCCAAAGGACACACCTGGATGCCTCCCAGGGCCATCAAACATAGGGCCAGTGACGGAGGTTGACGATTCGGGTACACGGTTCATTCCTTTCCCATGTCAGTTGAAGAAGTTGCCCAGAGACAGCTAGGAGACCTCTCCTCCTGGCTTCCTCTGGATTTGTCCTTTAAGGCTAAGGCTCGGCTGTCCACTGTTTGAATGTCCTAACTGCTTTGAGGCATAGAAGCATTGATGGTTTCCAGAGTTATGTGACTATGGTGCTCCATTTCATGCCACTTGAGATTCTGATCCAGCCCTGGAACAACCCTTGGCCTCAGGTGCTCCTCCCCACTGAGAGTTTGCACCCTCATTCATATCAAGGCTTATTCGACTTGACCTTTCCTAAGCTTTGAGGCGAGGAAAGCTGCTGGCAGTCTTTTGTTCTTGGCAGATGTCTCATGGGTGAAAGAATACAGGAAGGGTCAGTAGTGGCAGGGTAGCTGTTTTCAAAACCCATTTGTGTCTTTATTATATAATGGACTGAGATACATAGAATGCTAGAGACTCATGGCAAAAGCCAGCACAGTTTTGAAAACATTCAATCTAAGTTTCTATTAGTAAAATGGGGAGATGAAAGCCTACTTCACAGGATAGTTAGGTGGGTTATGTAGACAAAATGAAAGTATGTAAAGCACCTAGAAAAGTGCCTGATACATAGTGTGGATTTTAAATAGATTCTAAAACAGACAAAATTGTTACCACCACCAAAAACATTTCTTCCTAAAATAGTTATAATAGCATGTTACTATTACAAAACTATGATAAAATATACTTTGATTATATCCATGGAATCCCAAACTGGAGGATTTAATCAAGATAAAGGTTGGAACACTAACATTAGTTGTCAGGGAAATGCAGCTGAAACTTTAATGACAGGCTCAGACATCTTGGGTATATGCTTGGCTAAAGAGCCAGTGGGATGAAGGTACCATCTGTGAGGTTATGACTGAACCTCTAAGTCAGAATCCACCAAGGCATAATGATAGGGCAATGTGGCTGAACTTTGGTTCACTGGTACCCCGCTGTTCTGCAAGCAGGTGGCCAAGTGCCCCCCAGGTGGTGCAGGGGCATGTTGGACTGCGTCCCGAGCAGCGAGCCTCTCCAGAGAAAGGGCCCAGCTGGAAAGGAGACTTTCGCCTCGCATGTCACTCAGTGCTTGCTTTTGGGGAACCTGGTGCTAAACCATAGAAGACCTGCTTCAGAGTCAGGGTTGCTCTGCAACAGAGCTGCTCCCTCACTGCGATCTATTGAAAGCCAGTCCCCTACACAAGGGTTTGAAGGGGGAAAAGGAGACTAAAAAGCAAAAAAAAAAAAAAAAAAAAAAAAGAAACTATGACACTACTTACACAATAGAATGGCTCAAAGAAGACTGAAAATAGGGAGTAACTGGACCACATACATTGCTGGTGGGAACACAAAATGGTGCTTTAGAAAACAGCTCGGTGGTTTCTTATAAAGTGAGGCACTCTTAAATATCATGACCCAGCAATTTGCTCTTGTATGCAAGTGTTCACAGAAGCTTTATTCATAACAGTAAAAACAGCCACCCCAATATCCAACCACTAGTAAATTAAACAAATTGTGATATATCTGTTCAATACCTCTTAGGTATAAAAAAGGAATAAACCAATACATGCAACAACATGGGTGAATCGCAGCATTAGGCTAAGTGAAAAAAGCCAGAAACAAGCCAGATTACATATTTTATAATCCCATTTATTAACATTGTAGAAAAGACAAACTGTAGTGACAAAAAGCAGCATCAGTGGTTGCCAGCGACTATAGAGGAGGGAGGGGATTGACTATAAAGGGGTGCACTGGAAATAGTCTTTATCTTGACTATACATTTGTCCAAACTTATCAAATTACACACTTAAGATGGGTTTTATTGTATGCAAGTAAGTAGAGTTGATTTTTTTACAAAAGGACAAAGTGTCATTTCATGACACATTCAAATTAAAACCACAATGGGATAACACTAGAATAGTTAAAAAGGCAGCCAAAGCCAAATGTTGGAGAGGATGTGCAGCAATTAAGGCTTTCACATATGATTGGTGGTTGAGAGTAAAATGTTTCAATTACTGTGGAACACTAGAAGTTTCTTATATTTACCTATGACTCAGCAATTCCACTCCTAGGTATCCTATCCCAACTCCCTCACAAATGAAATCATGTCCACCAAAAACGTTTATTGCAGCTTTATTCACAGTAAAAAATAAATAAATAAATAAAATAAATAAATAAAAATTAGAAACAACCTAAATGCCTCAAGATAAACTGGTTTGCAATACTACTCAACAATAAAAAGGAACAAACTACAGCCTTACAAAAAATGTTGGCCTTACAAAAAAAGAAAATGTTAAAAGCAGCTGGAAAGACATGGCACTAATTAATAACAAAAAAACATACCAAAGTAAAAATCTCATAAAAAGTAGTAAAGGTAATGAATTAATCCTTATAAAGGGAATAATGTAAAGGTTCAAAAGACAAAAAAGTGAAAGCCACAATACTAGCTAAAGGACACGTAAGATGTCAAATTTGACATTAAAAATGGAGGAAGTCAAAATACAGAGTTTTGGAATGTGTTCCCCAAATGTAAGTGGCTCTCAAAATAGACTGTTATATACATAAGATGTCATATATGAACCTCATGGCACCACAAAGCAAAAAACACAATAAATACTCAGAACAAAAAAGCTTTAACAAAGTAATGGAACCACAAGGAAAGAGAGAAGAAAGGAATAGAGAGAGACTACGAAAACAGCCAGGAAAAAAAAATGACAAGTACATACCTAGCAATAATTACTTCAAATGTATGGGGACTAAATTCTCAAATCAAAAGGCATAGAATAGCTGAATGGATTAGGAAAAAACAAGAGTAATTCCTTTGCTGCCTACAAGGACATACAGATTGAAAATGAGAGGATGGAGAAAGATATTCCATGCAAGTGGAAAAGAAAGCTGGTATAGTTATGTCAGACAAAATCAACTTTAAAAGTAAGACTGTAATAAAAGACAAAGTGGGAGCATTACGTAACGATAAAGGTGTGAACCCTGAGGGGGGGAAAAAAGGACACCTCCTAAGAAGGGCTTCTGGGTTCAAATTTTAAACAGAGCCTAGCAGCCATTTCTGCAAGGGGCCTCTCACACAAACTGTACTTCATGGAGAAGCTGGTGCTGAACTGTCTGTATGCAGTATGTTTCTGCCAGCTGAGCCAGACCTTATAAAAGAGTTCCTGGAATCCTATTTCAACCAATAGGACCGAAGCTTTCTTCATCCCATCAGAGCTGTGTAGCTCTGACCAATCAGAGCAGCTCTATTTTGGTCAATTTGGACAGTGCCTTTTGGACCAACCAAACTGTGAGGATTTGAAATCCTCATTTACATGAAGATGGACCAATCAGGGGCCAGGGGTGTGGACTCCTGTCCAATCAGCCAGCTTCCCTCTGCCTCTGAGAGCATGCTTCCCCTTTCTGCAGAACTCCCTGGCTGAGCTGAAACACTGAAGGTATCTTGCAAGAGGGGCCTGGCCTCAGGGTTGTTCTATGTTTGTGCTGTTTTTACAGTTGTGCTGTACCACAACTGAACTGTTTTGCACTGAACAAAATTTTGTCCTTCGCCACACCCCAAATTGGGGATTCCTGTTGGCACTGAATTGGCACCAACAACCATCAGTTGACAAAGGGGTCAATCCAGCAAGAACATATAAGATTTATAAATATATATGCACCTTTAATAGCACCAAAATGTATATAGCAAATACTGGCATACCAAAGGGAGAAACTGACAGCAATACGATAACATCCCACTTAGATCAATTCATAGATCATTCAGACAAGAACTCAATAAGGGAACATTA